CCCAATCAGCAGTCCCTCTTCCCAGCTCTCCTCCAACTCCCAATCAGCAGCTGTTTTACCCAGCTCTCCACCAAATCACAATTAGCAGTCCCTCTTCCCAGCACTCTACCAACTCACAATTTATTTGCCTCCTTAAATTGCAGTTGAGATTAAGTGAAGATTTCAGGTCTGTTGAGCTTTACAACAATCCAGTTTGTTTTCAACTTTTTTAAAAGCTGTGGTTAAGTTCTCAATCTGCAAATTCTCTAGATTTAAAAGAAAATCATAAAATGCAAAGAAAGTGAACGAACATATACACTTGGAAATGATAAACAAGCCTTAAACTTATTATTTAATTATTTATTCCACATATTAATTATTCTTCCACTGCCATTTCTTAACAGCTAAGCAGATTCTTTTCTCTATTCCATTTTTAAAATTTTATCCCAGGACATTATTTTAATGTGAGGAGATTCTTTTACAGGTGCAATCCCTAATAGCTATTTCACTGCTTCCATTGTGATGTCATTTTGAGGTTTGAACCTTGACATAAGTCCCTGAAAGTGCAAGGACCTGTCAAAGGAGGAACTTGACTATTCTATCTTGGTCTCATTCTGATGGCAGTTGTAACTGCCTAGGATCTCAAAACCTGAAAATGTTAGGTTGTGGTCCCAATTGGTTTTCTGACTTCCTGTTTGGGTACTCACTAAGTTACATTCCCCACCCTTATTTTACAGCCACCTATATCATGCAAGTGTTGCTAATCATTTATTATTAGCATAGACTTCACTTGCAAAGGCTCAACTCAAACCATATTAAATAGCTTATGTGATTAATATAGACCATTACTAACAAAGTAAAATTGTCCATTTATGGAACCATGGTCACATTAGGTTTTGCTGCAATGTGTTTCGTTTTGATTGTGTAGTTCAGAAACCTCGACAGTGCTGCAAAGGCAGTTCCTTCATTTATGGTAAAAATGATTTGTCAGTTGTTGTGGTGGGAATTGGCAGGGAGCTTCTCTCAATACACAAAGAATAAACAGTCTTCACCTTCCCATTTAATCCCATAACTGTTAATGACAGATGAAGACTTCAGGCAGTTAAAATCAGCTGATTGAAACACTGTTAACTACAGACAAGCGGACAGTTTTAAAAGGTACATTTGGACTTTGACTTGATTTGATTTATTAATTTGATTCATTGTAGTCACGTGTACCTAAATACAGTGAAAAGCTTTGTTTGCAAGCAGCACAGGCAGATCATAGTAAGCAAGGATATACCGAGCATAGGGTAGGACATGCAGAGCATAGAGTGTTATTGAGAAGATCATTCTAGCAGGATTACAGACATACACACTCAAATGAATAACATAAAAGAATAAAACATTTAACAGTAAGGAGAGGGTCCAGAAAAGATTTGCCAGGATGTTGCTGGGAATGGAGGGTTTGAGATATAAAAATAGATTGAAAAGGCTGGGACTTTTTTCACTGGAGCATAGGAGGTTGAGAGGTGACCTTATTGGGGTTTATAAAATCATGAGGGGCATAGATAATATGAATGACAAGGGTCTTTTCCTGAGGGTGGGGGAGTTCAAAACTAGGCATAAGAGAAGGTGAAAGAAGAAAAATATTAAAAAGACGTGATGGGCAATGTTTTTACACAGAGAGTGATTTGTGGAATGAACTTCCAGAGGAAGTGGTGGATACAGGTACAGTTATAATGTTCAAAAGACATTTGGATAAGTACATGAATAGAAAATGTTTGGAGGGATATAGGCCAAGCACAGGCAGGTGGGACTAGTTTAGTTTGGGAACATGGTTGGTGTGGGCTGATTGCACCGAAGGGTCTGTTTCCATGCTGTATGACTCTATAATAAAATCTTCAGCAAGATTCTCTTTTCTGTCACTTTTTCTGTCATTTCATAAACTCCACAAGATGGAGGTTACTCACTCTTCTCTCATGTAAATGTTATTTTCTCCTTACTTTGGTAATCTTGCAAATTGCCTTGATGATTGCAAGACAACAGGCTTCAACAAAGTGTATTTACTCAGCAATACTCAAGTTCTGCACTATTAACCAATTATTTCTGCCTTTTCCAGAAATAGATACCCCACTATATAAATGACTATTAAATGAATGAAATGTTTGAATTCTCTAAGCATGGATTTGTGCACTGAGACTCAAAAACATCTGGCTACCAATATTCTTTTTATTATTTGTTCATGGGGATGTGGGTGTTGCTAGCCAGCCCAGCATTTATTGGCTTGAAGTCAGTAGTGGTGAGCTGCCTTCTTAAACTGCAACAGTTCTTGGGGTGTATACCCCTAGCAGGTCAACCAAAATTGTACTCAGTATTCTAAAAGCGGCCTCACCAATCTCTTGTACAGCAGCAATATGACGTCCCAACTCTTATACTTAATGCTCTGACCAAGGCAAGCACATCAAACACATTCTTCACCACCTTGTCTGCGCAATTCCACTTTCTTGGAACTGTGAATTTGCACACCCAGGTCTGTCTGTTCAACAACACTCCCAAGTCCCTACCATTAACTGTGTAAGTCCTGCCCTGGTTTCCTTACCAAAATGCAACACCTTGCATTTATCTAAATTAAATTCCATCTGCCACTTCTTAGCCCATCTGATCAAGATCTCGTTGTACTCTTAGGTAGCGTCTTCACAGTCCACTATACCACCAATTTGGTGCCATCTGCAAACTTACTGACCGTACCTCCTATATTTTCATCCAGTCAGTGGAAAGTGTAAATCCAGCTCACCCCTGTTCTCCACCAAATCCTTGGTTTCCCAGTGGTCAAGATGGTTTGAAGTTGATCCAAATGACTCTAACTAGTGGAAGCTGCATCTCTAAAGAAGTTTCAGAGATAGTAGGAACTGCAGATGCTGGAGAATCTGAGATAACAAGGTGTAGAGCTGGATGAACACAGTAGGTCAAGCAGCATCAGAGGAGCAGGAAAGCTGACGTTTCAGGCCGAGACCCTTCTTCAGAATGCTCTAATGCTGCTTGGCCTGCTGTGTTCATCCAGCTCTACACCTTGTTATCTATAAAGAAGTTGTTCTTTCTCACTGACAAAGTGAAAATAATTATGATTCTGAATGGATCAAAAGTTTCTCAGATTCCTGGATTAAATTGTTAAGCAGTTAGGTGCTATCAAAGCCTTTTTCTGAACAATGTGCTACACTGTGGTGAAATATGTAGAAGTGAGCAAACATCATAATTATGTTTTAACTCACTCACAGCAACTGTCTGACCATTTTTGCCAAATTTAATGCAACAGCCAAAATGGAATAGAGTGGATAAGTGAATGAAATTACTTGGAAAAGAAATGTCTAATTAACAGCTTTCCTCTGTACTTAAAAAATAATGCGTTTTTTTAGTGAGCTTACAAAAAGGAATACTCGCCATTTTATGTACTTTGCCTTTTTCATCCTTGAAAATATGAATCTTTATGTTGATTATGAACTATATCAGTTTGTTTTATAATTGCCTCTGTGCTCACTAAGGTAATTAATAAAAACTGAAGGAACTGCGGATGCTGTAAATCAGGAACAAAAACAGAAGTCGCTGGAAAAGCTCAGCAGGTCTGGCAGCAGCTGTGAAGAAAAAAACAGAGTTAACACTTCAAGTCTGGTGACTGAGGCAGGGTCACCGGGCCTGAAACGTTAACTCTGTATTTTCCTTCACAGATGTTGCCAGACCTGCTGAGCTTTTCCAGCAACTTAGGTTTGTTAATTACCTTCAACAACAAAAACGATCTGATGCTTCTGTATTAAATTCAGTCTGTAATCTGTTGCACAATGAATCAAAGCTCATCATGGAACGTAGAAACAGGAGTAAACCTTTCAGCCCCTCGAGCCTGTTTCTGTGGCCTAACTGCAAATACCTGCCTTTAGTCCTTATCTCTTCATACTTGAGCTTAACAAAATGTTTATCTCAGATTTAAAATTAACAACTGATCTAATAGCAACTGACATTTGTGGAAGAAAGTTCCAAACATCTACCACCTTTTGTGTGTAGAAGTACTTCCTAACATCTTTTCTGAATGGCCTGCTCCTGATTCTCAGACTATGGCCCCTAGTTCTAAATTCCCAACCAGTGTTAGTTGTTTATCTTTATCTACCCTATCTTTTCCTGTTAAAATCTCGAATGTTTTGATCAGATCGCTCCTTAATCTTCATAATTCAAGAGAAAACAGCCTTAATTATATAATCTTTTTTTTCCTAGTTTAACCCCATTCTTGTAAACCTACGTTGTACTCCCTCCAAGATCATTATATCCTTTCTAAGGTGTGGCTCCCAGATATGCTTAAGTGGGCTCTAACCTGAGTTTTGTATAGCTGCAGCATAATTTCTGAATCTTTGTATTGCAGTCTTAGAGATATAAAGGCCAGCATTTCATTAGCTGTCTTGATTATCTTCTGCACCTGTTTGTGACGTTTTAAAGATCTCTGCACCTGAACCCCCAAGTCTCTTTGGATATCCACTGTGTTTAACTTCATGGTTTAATATGTGAATAATTTGTCAGAACATCTTTGCCTTGAAGCAGTTGGAAGCTGGGTACCGAAAATTCAGTTGAAAACAATGCAATCTATGTTCTTATAAAACAGGTACCAGTCTGAAGTGCTACCAGAATTCTTTAAGTCCTTTAGAATGCAAGATGGAAACAACCATCTGTGACCCAAATGAAATGTGCTTTAAAAAAGTTGGTAAAATACGTAAGTAATAATCACCTAGATTTTATCTTAAATGTGAATATAAATGATACAGTAGTTTACCCAATATATTTCCAATAATTACAATGTCAGTGGTTTTGTTTTTTTCTGATTTATTGTCACATGTACCTAAGTACAGTGAAAAGTTTTGTTTTGCGAGCAGTGCAGGCAGATCATAACATATAAATATACACATTTCCTAACCTGGGGTTTGAAAAAAAACCTGGTATTTGTAGTAAAACTTCACATTTGATAAGGAAACTTTTTTTTGAAATGTTGGTTTGATCACATTATTGAATATTGAACACCGTGGGACTAGTGTTCTGAAGTGTATTTATTTTAATGCAAGAAGTATGATAGTTAAGGCACATAAACTTAGAGCTTGAATTGACTGTGATGTTATAGCTATTACAGGGACTTGTTTGAGAGATGGACAACATTCTGGGATTTAGATGGTTCAGGCATGATAGAGAGTTATGTAAAAGAGGCTGGGGGAGTTGCATTTCTGATTAGGGAGACTATCATAGCTGTACTGAGGGAGGACATGGACAAATTATGGAAAAATGTGAAAACAACAGGGTTGCTGTGGTGGGTGATTTTAACCTTCCCAGTATTGACTGGGATTTGCTTAGTGCCAGGGGCTTGGACGAGGGTGGATTTGTGAGGTGTGGCCAGGATCGTTTTTTGAAACAATATGCAAATAATCCACCTGGGGAAGGGGCCGTACTAGACATGGTATTGAGTAATGAGACTGGCCAGATGATCAAAGTTTCAATGGGGGAGCATTTTGGGAAGTGTGACCATAATTCTGTGAGTTTCAAGACATTTATGGATAAGAATAAGAGTAGTCCTCAGGTGAAAGTACGAAACTGAGGAAGGCTAACTACCACGATATTAGGCAGGAACTGGCGGGATTGGAGGCAGCTGTTTGAGGAGCAGAATTTTAAAGGCCAGTTGATTAGAGCTCAGGACCAGCATGTTCTTGTGAAAATGAAGGATGCAAACTTTGGGAACCTTGGATGACAAGACAAATTGAGAGCTTAGTCAAAAAAAAAAGGAGGCATACATAAGGTTTAGGAAACTGAAGACAGACAGAGAGCTTAATACTCAGAAATGCATTTCAGAAGAAGAGTCCCGACCCAAGACGTCAACTTTCCTGCTCCTCTGATGCTCCCTAGCCTGCTGTGCTTCTCCAGCTCCACACTGTGTTATCTCTGACTCCAGCAGCGGCAGTTATTACTATCTCTAAGTATGAGGTTATCTGTTTTAGTCAGAGGAGCAGGAAGGTAACTTACTGTCTAAACAGAGAGAGATTTCAGATTGCTTCGGTCTAGAGGGATCTGGGTGTCCTTGTACATGAATCACAGAAAACTAGTCTGCACATACAGCAGGTAGTAAGGAAGGCAAATGAAACGTTGGCAATTATTGCTAAAGGAGTAGAGTTTAAATTAGGGAGATTTTGCTACAACAATACAAGGCACTAGTGAGACCGCACCTGGAGTATTGTGTACAGCTTTGGTGCCGTACTTGAGGAGGGATGTAGTTGAATAGCAGGCAGTTCAGAGGAGGTTCACTTGATTGATTCCAAAAATGAGGGGTCTGTTTTATGAAGAGGTATTGAGTAGTTTAGGCCAATACTCACTGGAGCTTAGAAGAATAAGAGGAGATCTGGATGGGTAAAAGAATAGGAAGGGTTTAGAGGGATATGGGTCAAATGCTGGCAAATGGGACGAGATTTATTTAGGATATTTGATCGGCATGGATGAGTTGGACCAAAGGGTCTGTTTCCATGGTGTACAGCTCTATGATTGTATCTAATTAAGGGATAGAAGATGCTAAAGGGAATCGAGAAAGTAGACATAGAGAGGATGTTTCCCCTTGAGGGGCAATCTAGAATGAGAAATCATTAGTTTTAGGGTAAGGGATGGCAGATTTAAAACAGAAATGAGGAGAAATGACTTCATTCAAAGGGCAGTGAATCTATAGAATTCACTCCTGTTCTCCCCCCACACCCCCCATCAGCGGTTGGTGCTGGGGCATTGAGTAAAATTAAGGAGGGAGATGGAGAGGTTATTAATTAGTAATGGATTAAAGAGTTATGGAGAACAGGCAAGAAAGTGGAGTTGAGGCTGAGCTGAGATCAGCCATGATGATACGGAATGGCAGAACAGCCTTGAGGGGTTGAATTACTTACACCTGCTCCTAGCTCTAATGTTCTTATATTCTTATCATCTCACTCCCAGGAGTTCCTCAGTCCACAGTCCAACCATCTCCAACTCCATCATCAGTGACCTTCCCTCTGCCATAAGATCAGAAATGAGAATAGTTGCTGAGAATTGCACTGTGTTCAGACACCTTGCAAATCTCATACTGACTCAGACTGTCCCTGGGACGTTAAAAAACCCAATGGTGCTATTTCAAAGAAGACTGGGGGCCTGGGACCCTGGCCAATGATCATCATTCAGAATCACAAAACAGATTATCTGGTCATTACCATGTTGCCGTTTGTTGGATTTTTCTGTGTGCAAGTTGGCAGTCATATTTCCAATATTTCAACAGTGCTTAAGAAATAGCTGTTGGCTCTAGAGTAGCAAAGTGTTTTCTGTGAATGTTTATGTGTCAGTCAGTTGTAAGATCGTGTTCCCATCCACTCTGTAATGACTTTGAATGATGAATATAATGTGAACAATTATAACTTCTTGTTTATCCACAGGAAAAACTTATATTGCGAGCCGTGGATGCATTTCACAGGATCAGTGCCAGAAAACCAATATTGGGGAATTTGCTGGAATAAGAGTTTCCTTAAGAACATTGTGTTGTGAAAAACAGTTATGTAACAGAAGTATGGATGTGAAAACCTCACTTAAGATGGGCTCCGTTTTGGTGTTTGGATGGTTAATATGTTTTCTGTAGAGACCCAGTTTCTTGGATGCTGCACCTTGTGTGGCATAGTTATTTTGGAGAATGCCCATTAGCAAGCGCTGTGAAAATTAGAATATGTCCATGAAGAAATTCAGCAAAAAAAATCAAGTACAATAACATATTGAGGGACAGCCCACCACGGGTTCCCTTAGTTATTTGTTGTATTCCTGTTGACATGGACAGCTAGTTCATCCAATTTTAAAAATAGATCACAGGGCAGCTTGAAACTTCACAAGTTTTAAGTGCAGCTGTGATACCGTAAATGCATAGAAAAATTTTTAAAAGCACTTTTATGTACATTGTATTTTTTTTTTACTCATCACAACTCTAAATAATATCTTGTTTTAAAACTCGGGGTGGTGTGACAAATAATTAAAACCCTTCCTCAAACTTTTATTGGTTAATTTTCACTGGTCAGCAGTTCAGCTTGCTCCATACCCTCGAAAGAGGATATCAACATTCTTAGAAGCACGTAGTGACAAATGTGAGTTTAGCCAGTAAGCAAAAAGTGTAAAGAGGTGCTTCCCAGTTTTAAAGAGAAATACTCACGTGGCCTCCAATTGCTGGGGGCAGAAATTCTCCTTAAATGCTATTTTTGTGGCACTCTGGTTCATATGATCATGTGAAATTCCTTTGTGGCCCCTGTTTTCCAAACTTGTTTATACGCCATTATTAAAATAGCATGAAATGAAAATTTAATTCTGAAATGAATGTGTAGAGCAATTCTGCCCTCCAGTAGTTCCTATTTGGATAGAGGTTAACAGATTTTTCTTAGACTCGGAAGGAATCACCATAATTAAGAGTATAAAGCAATTACGTGTTCCCCTGTCTCCAGCTAATGGATTTCCAGGATTCCTGATGGAGGAGAATGTAGATGTCATGGACACTGCCTCCTTTTCTCATTCATTATCATAAATTTTACAGACCCACCAGCCTAATGTCACGGCCATTTATCAGTACAAGAACAAGGAAACACCCCAATAATGTACTCACTGTCCTGCAGTTCAGCCCATTTGCTTCACCTTTGGTCCTACCTGTTGACAACACATCTTCATTAAGTTCTTTTTACAAAGTGGGGTTGGTACACAAATCTCTAGCTAAGGCCCAGACTTTTGAGTTTAACTTCATAAAGCCTTGAGATACTTCAGAATGAAATGAAAAGCCCCTAAGTGGATATTTAGCTCTGCTTTCATTTTGCTGTTTCTTATTTTCATAAAGGTATGGTAAGCCGCTATCGATTGCATGCTAACTGTTTCACTCAGTTCAGTAGAACTGCTCGTTTATATAGAAACACCTGGTAGAGTCGAGGCAGGCATAGTCAGATGGTACCATTTGAAATGCCTTCTTGTGATTTCTGCTCATTGTAAATAAAACCCCTTCATCTAAAGAGTAACAACGATCTGCAGTTGGTGAGTATTGGAAAATTTCAGATATGCATTTCGTAGTTAAGGACAACATGTTTGATTCCTGAGTACAAAGAAACATGATGAGCAGGTACATCCACAGTCTGCTATGGTCTAGATTCTGCCCTTTGTAACTTTACCCATCAGGTGGCAGATTGCTGAGTCTTCCATTCAGACCCAGCTCTGTTCTCCTTCTAACATTGCTGTTTGCCTCTGGAAAAGTGGGAATCAGTCATTGCCTTGCCAACTGTGGTAGCTGCCTGTTATTTGCCCATGGGCTTTCTAGGTGTGGCATGACACTGCTTTAACTTGCCTTACCACTAATAGTTTGGCACTTCTTATATACCCTTACAAACAACCCATCACCCAAAGGCATGGAAACTACATGAATACTGACTTGATAATTCAATAACTTTTAAGTTTCTGTTCCTATTCATCAGTGCAAAACAAGATCTGTAGACCCAAAGAAAATGCCATTCCCTAAAGAAGACACTCAGAATTTTACAGTCAAATTCAATTTGAAGACCTCACAATATTATTTAGGCTTGTAGGAACATTAGCAAACACATTTTTCCCTCATCTGGAGAAAATCAGTTTATTTTCTATCATATTTTCTAGTTGAAACTTAACTTTTTTGATGGAAACTTGTTCTATTAAACTACAGTGAACTACAGAAACTGTTTTAGTTTGATTTGTTTTATTGATATTCCTTTGTGTGATATTATAACACTGTCCAGTTGACAGTATGTGTATGTTGTTATGATTGTGATGGAAGAATGTGCCGATTATTAAACCTTGCTCTTCCACCTGGCACACTGTTAGTGTAATTCTGTTGATTCAGTTACCAAAATGGCCAACCCCAGTCTTTTGTGTTCTCATTTAGAATACAAGAAATTCCCACCCAGGCCTTTTTAATAAACTCTAAATAATGTGTTTACAATACACGAAAAGAATTCCAGAAGAAAGTGGCACCTACTAATTAACACATAAAATGTAAAACCATACCTTCCTAATCCCACCCTCAGCCACGCTCACACGACAAAATAACAAGATTCTGCAGAGATAATGGGCTTTAATGGGAAAGGCCAGTCCTTGTGGACCAAGGAGCTGGAAACAAAGGATAGAGTCATAGTCATACAGCACTTTCATTCGAACCAATCCACACCAATCATAATCCCAAACTAAACTAATCCCACCTGCCTGCTCTAGGTCCATATCCCTCCAAACCTTTCCTATTCATGTACTTATCCAAATGTCATTTAAACATTGTAACTGTGCCGCATCCACCACTTCTTCTGGAAGTTCATTCCACAAACGAACCACTTTATGTATTAAAAAAATGCCCCTCATGTCTTTTAAGTCTTCCTCCTCTCACCTTAAAAACTATGCCTCCTAGTCTTGAAATTCCCCACCCTAGGGAAATGACTCGTGCCATTCACCTCATCCATACCCCTCATGAT